AGAGTTCTGTTGAGACTGAGACTTCCTGTAGGCCAGCTCTTCACTGCCCTCTTCGTGTCGTTGTTATTAACACACCAGCTAACGTAGAGGCTAACGTATGAGGTTCAGAGAGGAAATAATGTGGTCCAATCAAAGCGCACAGACTGTTAAATAAGTTGAAAATATGTAAAAGTCATTAAAATTTCAAAAGCAAAGTCATAAAAGAAACATAGGGCAGGCCATGCCATTAATTCAATGTTTTGACCTTCAAGGAAAATCTTTACCCGTTTTGCTGTGTGACACGGGGCATTGTCCTGCATGAAGATTGCAGGCTGATTGGGCGATGAACGCAAGTGAGGAACCATGTGCTGTTGAAGAAGGTTCTGATACACATTTGCATTCACTCGGCCATGTAGCTGTACAAGAGGCCCAACTCCTGCTGCAGAAAACATGCCCCAAACCATGACACTTCCTCCTCCACCTTTCACTGACTTTTTAACACACTTTGGGTTTAGTCTTTCTCCAATGTGTCGCCGAACATAATGCTTCCCATCAGACCCAAATAAATTAAATTTGCTTTCATCACTGAAGTGAACTCTGGACCAGTTCTCCTCAGTCCACACAACATGCTCCTCAGCAAAGCTCAGTCTAGCTTTTTGATTTTTTCGGCTAATGAGAGGTTTGGTCACTGCAGTGTGGGCCTTCAGTCCAAATGCTGTTAAACGGCGAGACACTGTATGGCGAGACAGATCCTTACCATGTTCAGCCCCGCAATGGCGAGCACTTCCAGCTGCAGTGTGGAAACGATTACCCATTGACATCCTCCGCAGTGACCTGTCCTCTCTTGCATCTGTCTTTCGTGGACGACCAGCCTTCTTGGGCGACTTGAATGAGTTTGTAGTTTTGTAAAGATTCAATATTCTTGAAATCACAGATTTGGAACGACCAACTTGTCTTGCTATGGCTGATAGGGTCATCCCGTTGGTTTTCATCTGGACAACCTGCTGCCGGAGGCCTTCAGTCACTTTAGAACGGCCCACCATCTTGCAAAGTCAGTGAAACTAGCAGTTAGAATGCCAGTTAAATAAGGGTTGACAGATAATCAAGGAAATTAGCACCATGTGCTTGATTAGCACCATTAAGTGGGAGGCACCTGAAAGTGTTCTCTAATTTTGATCAGTGCATTTTCTGGAAAATATTTTTTTTGCGAAATACCTTTAGTCATTTTGTGAAAAAAAGTGTTGTAGTACAATGATATAGACACAATAAAATGTCATTTAACTGTGGAACAGTGAAGATGGTATTATTTCAGATTTATTCCATTTTTTATGACTTGTTCTCTAATTTTGATCTCCAGTGTATATTCATATATACACACATACATACATATATGTATAAAAAACCAAGAGATATGAGCAATAAAACAAAAGTGTTACAGTGATTCCTGGGGGGATTTTCTTCTGTGGTTATCGTTAAGACACGCCGTCAAACAGCTAACACGGACGAGGCAGTTTACCTGAAGGAGAAGAGCGACCCCATGTCCAGCTGGGACAGCAGCTCCGCCTTGGACTTTGGATAAGACAGTCGGTACCGCAGCGTCTCGAAGGCAGGAACCACCAGAGCTTTCTTGGTGTTGGCCATGTCCAGCTGCACCACCGACTTTCTGTCAACACGCAGAGACGCTTCAGTTAGCGTCTGACCGTGTCAGCGGGCGTACAGTCGTACTCTGTCGTAAAGTGGGACGACAGCTCCGCGTTCACACGCCGCCGTCGACCGACGGCAGACGCTATTAGCATTTGTGTCTGTCCAAACCGCGAACATTTTTCAGGGCAAATTAATTAATCGTCGCTAGCGTTTCCTCCAAACTGGAATACACAGTTTGACAGTTTTTTTACTTTTCTGAAGCTGCTGTAGAGTCAGAACTGCAGTAGTACTGCGTTCAGCTAGTACTTTAGCAATTCCATAATACAATATTCTAAAATATTTACCTTTGTATGTATTACTTAAAGATTCAAAAATGTCACTGAGAAGTAAAAGGCTACACAGATACTCGCAGGAATTGAAGAAAGACACAGAAGTAAAAAGGCTGTACACAGTACAGTGGAAATACTTATATATAAATATATACGTGTAGATTTTGGTTCTGTGAGTTTTTTAAGTACATCAAGCAAATACAGTTAAAAATGGAGGATGTAGTTTTTCAGGGACAGAATATTTGTTTGTAGATTTCCAACAATTACTTTGAAGGACGTTTTTTTTACGCATTACACAGTTTCTAGATTCTACTTTCTAGTACACACCAAAAACTGACCTAATATTATATATATCCAAATATCAAATTCCCCCCTGGAGGTAGTACAAAGACACTGCGTTCGTATGACGCCACAGATACTTGTACCGCAGACGTACCTAAGATACTCGTAGAGGCCGTACATGGGCAGGAAGTCGATGTCGGACAGGAACATGTAGGGCGTGTTGACCTGCCGCATGGCCACGTTGCGCAGCAGGTTGACGGGATAGAACTGCCCCTCCTTGTAGACGATGTGGTAACCCACGTTCCCGCGGCTCATCAGGACCTCCGAGCCCTGAGCGTAGCGCAGGAATTGCTGGGCCTCGGCGTCGGACAGGTAGAGCGCCAGGCTGATCGGCCCCTCCCAGTGTTTACAGATGGCCTCCAGCATCTGAAGTCTGCAACGAGACACGTGGACCAGTGACGTCAGCGCGTCGATGATGACATATGAAAAAAAAAAAATACGATGACATCGTCAGATGCACACTCTCTCTGCCGCACACACACACACACACGTTCTTGTTTGCTGAAGGACTACATTTACAGACACCCAGATGTTAATATGCGTAATGTTTTGGTAAGAATCGCAGGAAGTGCGGAATATTAAGTATTTCGTTTTTTTTTTTAACGCAAGTTGAAAGTCAAGATTTCCGATCTGAGTGAATTCTTATCACACGTGCGTCGTTCTGGTCCACATCGTTACTAGCCCTGACACTGAGCTGCTTCTGTTTCTTAATACTATACTAGCATCAGGCTGAACAACGCCCCCTTTGGGCTGACATAATCACATTATATCACAGTCAGTTCGTGATGAGGTTTTTTTTAAATTTTTTTTAATTTAACCCGTGTCTGATTAATCAACAGACTGATTACATTTCCACGAGGCATTGGTTTACAAAGCAATTGTTTCTCCAGCCGGCTGCGCCTACGCTACGACGTGGTTGCCATGCAACAAACACACCAGCACGGAGGCTGCCAACTCAGAAAACACCTGAACCTGGAAGATCAACCAACTCTTTACATGTAGAACGGCTCTGTCCATGGTGCTGAAACGGTTAAACGCTAATATTCGCTAGCAATCGTGAGCTGACACAGTATTTCTCAGCCCTTTTTTTTAGCGCCACATAAAATCCTACGAAGCAAAAAGTCACTAAAAGTTTATGGAATAAAACTTCAATCTCCTCTGAATTTACTTCAGCGTGAAAACCTGGGCCTGTTCGGTTGAACACAACCCTGATGTAGTCGCAGGAATTAAAGAAAGACACAGGTTTATTCTACATCAAGTCTTCTTCAAATGTAAAAAGAAAAAAGATGAAAAAACAGATCAAGTCTCTGATCTGTTTTTTCTGCCTCTGAAACAGAAACTCGATCCAGACTGGGTGATAATTTAATATTCAACACCTCAACACACCCAGTATCTTCCTACTTTGTCCTTGGCAGTAAAAACACAGGCAGCAGTGAAGAAACGACTCCAGCACTGGCAACATGAAATGTTGATTTTATTTATAGCACTTGGTGTGGGTGAGGAAGGTGAGAGAAAGCCTCACTTTTCCAGCCACAGAAGACGCCGTTTGTCAGACAGTCAGAGTCGTTGGCGTGTTTTTTTAGACTCGCTGTCAGTTCCACATTTAACGATTAATACAATAACTAACAAAAAAAAAAGGTGTAAAAACTTAACAGCAATCTCTCTCTCCGTGCTACAGTTTAATCACGTGACCTCCAGCAACCAATCAGATCACAGGAGTATTCCACAGCAGCCACGCAGTACTTGATATTTTTAGACGTACTTTGTTAGAGGCAGATTTTTGCGGCTGTTAAATTTCAACTTTCAACCGTGTTGAATTTTTTTCTTTTCATCTTTCAAACCAAACGACAGACCCCCCAGCGGTCCCCCGCCCCCCATGTTAAAAGCACCAGAGCCCCGGTGTCAGTTATTTGTTCATCCCACAAAGCGACTCTGAGCAAAGCTGCGAACCCCGTGTTGGATTCCAACTGTGAGTGTTTCTGTGCGACTCACAGTTTGCCGTCGCTGCCATCAGCTTTCATCTGTTTTTTATTTTATTTTTTTGAAATAATGAATTGAAAGACCTTGGATGGAGACGGCGAACAGAGAACCGTTGTTTGTTTTTTTTTATTGGCAACAATAAAGAAAGTTTCAGAGCGCCAGCCTTCAGGGGATACTTGACATATTTTGATGATCAACAAATTAGAAAAAAAAAATACTTGGTGGCGCTCTTTGTGAATTCCTAATAGTAATTTAACATCAAGTGGTGACGGTGAGCGGAGGCAGCGCTCCGGAGACGTCGATATTCTTCTTCTCCAGGCGCTCGCATTAACTGATGTTCTTCAATTTTTTTAAATGCGTAAAGTGAAAGTACGTCTGAAAAAAAACGTCTCATTTTCTCCCTGAATTATCATGCGTCTCGTAGCGACGTCCCCGACGTCCATTTGTATTCTATTCCGACGGTGGGACGGACTTCATTTGCCTCGGTACCAGACTCTGTTTTGGATCCAGAATTGCAGGATTAGACAGTGGCCCCGCGGAGGCCACCGAGCCACGGCGGGCCTCATTAAAACAAGACAAAGCCTATAGCCAGAGAGCGCCCCCCGGGGACCGCCCTGTTTATTATACACACTCCATAATAATACATTGCTAAGCAGAAAAAAAAAAAAAAAAAAAGCCCCGACAACAACCTGACGATATGAACTCAGAGCTGGAGCTGCGTCGGTTCCTGAGGGTGATTTAAAATACTATTGAAATCTAAATGTTTATTACACTGGGAGAGAGAGAGAGAGAGAGAGGGGGAGAGGGAGAGACACGCCGCTACTGTCTGCAGGGGACGAGCCGCGTCGCGGGGGATCGACGGGAAGGGACCGTCTGTCAAAATAGTTTTCTGAAGTAAAACAAAACTTGGAAACAAAAAGTAGAAAGAATCTCTCTCTCTCTCATCTTTCTTCAATTCCTGTGAGTACAGCAGCGTGTGTTCAACTAAACAGGCCCAGGTTGAACACCGTGTCAGTAGATTGTCAACTAGAATGACTATATATTTTTGTTTAAATGTGTTGGAAATCAGAGTTGATCAGAAACAAACGTATTCTATAAAACTGTTGTCGTGTTTTTTTTTTTTTCGTTTTTTTTGGTGAGATGATTCGTCGCAGCTGTTTTCACATTTCAACAGGGAAAAAAAAACACTCAGAGTAACAGAGTTCCCTGAACTCAACACCCAAATCATCCAGCCCATGAAAAAATAAATGGGCGAGCGAGGAGGCAGTAAAGAGAACGAGTGTGGTGCTGAAGTGGAGAACAGGGATGTTTGTGAGGGAAGATGAAGCAGCGACGTCAGAATAAAGAACGACGGCAGGAGAACGACGGCAGGAGAACGACCGGTTCTGGTTCTGGTTCTGTTTGTTAAACATCAAACTAAACTTTTTCCTTTTTCGTCTGTCGTACGTTCGACCTTTTTGAACCCTCACACCCCCGTGTCACTGCGACGTGTTCCTGACGGCTTTTAACGCGTTAGTCAAAAAAAATACGTGATGAATTCCTGATGAGAGCGTTTTCGTTGTAAAGTGCAACCATTTCCAACCAATTAAAACAATTAGACTGAGAGCAGAGGAAACGCCGATGAGGGACGGGAAAATTATTACCAGTCATTTTATCAAACTAATGAAAAGCGTGTGTAAAATGTGAAGTTAAGGTTCTACACAAAGGAGTCGTCGGGAGACGCAGGGTTTTTCTTTTTTTTTTTTTCCTCAATAAAGGAGAAATTAAATTATTTCACAGCGAGAAATGGGATTAGGATAAACACGGCAACATTAAAATGCAGATAAAACAGGCATGAAAAGAACACGGCGCTAAAGGAGGAGATTTAGAGAATTACATCAAAATTTACATAAAACAAAAACATATCTGAAGGCACAATCACTCAGCTGTTGTTGTTTGTTCTCCGCGCTGTGGTGTTAGCGCCGCGCTGCTACGTTCTGATGAATATATCTGAATATATCATGTGTGTAATGTAAGTAAACAGGACGGTGAAAACTGCGTTCTTTCTCTACGCTCTCCTCCGAACACCGACAAAAAAAAAAAAAAAAAAAATCTTAAATCCATCGTTTGTTTCATTCAGAGACAGGACTTCTGTCAAATCCTTCCTAATTTACTCCGGTGGTTGTTGTTGGTAGTGCGGCTTTGTCCATACGGGAGGAGAAAGCAGGGAAAGCGTCGCATCGTTAATCATAACCGTATAATTTTACAACGGGTGCTAAAGGTGGCAATAAGAGCTGCTTAGAGAGCGCGACATTTACATCCGAGGGTCGGATGAGCCTCCAGCCTCACCGTCGTAGTTACAACCTGCTTACTCACTGATGCATTTAATGCCACCGTGACCAATGAACAAAGCCGCAGGAGCGCGGCGCTAATTCTCCGAGTCTCTGCTAGAAAAAACCTGCAGTACCAGCCTGGGGAGCAAGGGGTCGCACTAACAACACAACAAGTCACTTTTACAGCCTGAATATTAACGTGACTTCCCGTTTAATTATAATGTAAAATAAACTTTACATCTTCCATTTCCACTGTGTTGGACCATTAACGTGCGGAAATATAAACTGAAATATATATTTATATGTCCTTAACAGGGTCGGTGTTTTTGATGCATTAAATCAGTGATTCCCAACCACTGTGCCGTGGCCCACTAGTGGGCCATGAAAGATCGTTAGCTGTGACGCGGAAAATTATCCACTGTCACTTGATTGGTCGCAAAACATATTATTTATTTATGTGTATGTGTGACAGGCAGAACAATTGAAATAAATCCACTAGGTGGCAGCAGTTGGCTATAAAACTAAAACTAAAATAATCAGAGCTGTTGAAGAAGATCTTTGTGAGCGTCTTTCTTCAATTCCTGCCAGTTTATCATTGTTTTCTTCAACTAAACAGGAGTTCAATTTTTTAGTAAATTTAAACTAGAATATATATAGAATAATATATTTCATTCCATATAGTTTTTGTGAGATTTTTGTTTGGCTGTGGGGTTTTTTTCCCTGATGATATATATGTGCCGTGGCTGAAAAAAGGTTGGGAAACACTGCATTAAATATATAAATAAATATATTTACACACACAAACACACTCATAAATATATACATACATATCTATATACGTATATATAAACGCACATATACTTAAACATGTAAATATACATGTATATTTATATATACACATTTAAGTTTTTTAAATTTTCACAAAATTTTTTTTTAATCATAGAGAACTTTTTTTTTTGTTTCTCGTGTGGTTGTCGGCGTGGAACCGTACCTGTCCATGGAGAGCTGGGCCACCAGGGTGACGTCGGTGTTGTCCACGCTGGCTTCGTACTCGTAGTGGAGGAAGTACAGGTGCGTCCTGTGGACGGTGAAGCGCTCGCGGCGAAACTCGTAGCAGGGGTCGTCCTCGTCCAGCTCTGACAGAGTCTTCTGGAGCTGCGGACAGACACGGAGGGACGACGTCACATGACTGATCGCAGGGACACGCCTACAGTTACAGCAGCTGGAGTCGTGCTGCGTCAGCGGGGCGATGGTCCGCTAACTCCATTAGAAAATATTCTCTGCCATAATCGGAAACTGAACCTCCATTAATCAGCTCAGACGCAGAAAAACTGGATCAGCATTTTTTTTTTTTATTAATTACTGTTTGGTTTTTCAAACATGGTTCACCCTCAAGTGTTTTTGCTATTCCTGTCCTGGCCACAAGATGGAGCTGTCAAGTGTAATTTTTTTTTCCCGGGCAGTTTTTAAAATAGATACTTAAGCAAAGTACAAGCAAAAACATCAAAGCCGTGAAGTAGAAATGGACGTCGTTCTAAGTTATGTCGACGACGCCTTATTTGACTTAATTCTGAGATTCTGTCTCCGCACACAGTTGCTGGTTGTAGAAGTTCATTAGAAGAGTTTATGACGCCGCTCTGTTTTCAACAGCACCAAAAGCTGCGTTGAGCGTTCGGGGTCGCGGTGGCCCAGTGGCCCTGAAGGCGGCCGGTCCGCCGCAGCGGTCGATCCCTCAGTGACTTCATTAGTCTAATCATCGCATTAATGAAATTTAAATCGCTGCTCAAACTCTGAAAAATTGAGCGAGCAAAATATTTCCCCGAGTTAAGGACACACTGAAATTGACTGTTGCCGTAAAAAAAAAAAAAACACCAGCCTGTCGCACCGCGGTGGAAAATTATAACGTGATTAACGGACCGCAGAGCTGACGCTTCCATAATCCTACGGCCTACGGAGACTAAATCTGTGAAAACCAAACTCTCCACTGTGGTGACCTTCAGCAGGTGGGGGGGGGGGTGAGAGAGAGAGAGAGAGAGAACACCGTGAACACGAGTTTGTGTAAAAGTCTATTTCCTTGAACGGCCCACGGAGCCGACGGCTCGGCGTTAAATGGACGTTTCCTAAATAAGGTTATTAAGAAGATCGGACGGAAAAACCAAGGCAGGAAATACTAACTATGAGGAGAACCTGGTGGGGGCGCAGTAGAGCCCAGTACTGCCTGGTACTCTTTGTGACGCCTCTACATTTGAATACTTTTGAACAAACTGTAAAATTTGACTGGCCGCCGTGGGAGCAGCAGCAGCAGCATCAGCAGCATCATCAGCATCAGCAGCAGCATCAGCAGCAGCATCATCAGCAGCAGCAGTAACAGCAGCAGCAGCATCAGCAGCATCAGCAGCAGCAGCATTAGCAGCATCAGCAGCATCAGCAGCAGCATCAGCAGCAGCATCATCAGCAGCAGCAGCATCATCAGTAACAGCAGCAGCAGCAGCATCAGCAGCAGCATCATCAGCAGCAGCAGTAACAGCAGCAGCAGCATCAGCAGCATCAGCAGCAGCAGCATTAGCAGCAGCAGCAGCATCAGCAGCATCATCAGCATCAGCAGCAGCATCAGCAGCAGCAGCATTAGCAGCATCAGCAGCATCAGCAGCAGCAGCATTAGCAGCAGCAGCAGCAGCAGCAGCAGCAGCATCATCAGCATCAGCAGCAGCATCAGCAGCATCAGCACACACACACGCCGGCCTCCATCTGTTGGGTCCAGGCCGACTGCGGCTCAGAGGTACTGGTGGACCAGCTGTTCTGTCTTCAGGACCAGTGACGAGCTCAAACAGCGACAGGTGCACAGACTTCCTCCACAGACTTTAGAGGAAAAATAAACCAACGGCACCGGCACCGGCACCGGCACTGAACTCTGAACACACGACGTGACGTGAAAACACGAGTCAACACGCAGTCGGCAGGTTGGTTATCGTTCAAAATCCAAATCAGTGAGAAATCAGGTTTAATGATATTTTTACAAACGCGGATCCGATTCTAAAGAGTCCGTTCCAGGTTTTCCAGACTCACAGATACAGATATAAACCGCCGTCAGTCGCAGTGAGAACTGGATGAACCTGAGGGTTCGACAAAACTCCCGTCGGTTTCAGCAAAACTGTGCGTCTGTTGTCAGTAGTTCTCAAAGTGGGGGGCGCTCCCCCAAAGGGGCACAAAATCATTTGCAGGGAGGGACATCCAGGTCAATAAATACCCATTTAAACGGTTTTGTACTTTGTTCTAATCCGAACTGAAGAACTGAATCCACGGTTGTTACTGTGTTGACCTGTGTGGGCTGGACAATAGTCTGTTCTACCAAAGGAGGCGCTGCAGAAAAAGAAAAAGTGGGAACAACAGCCTGGAGCTAATGAGATTTCCATCTATTTTAAACACAGTGCTGCTGTATCTGGACCAGCAGTGGAAAAATAAAAAAAACATTTTTTCCTGAAGCAGAAACAGGCGACCATTATTTAGAGGCCGTTTATTAGTTTGAGTCTTTATCCATTCGTTTGCCGTTTCCTTTAATTACGGTGTTTATATTTTAATTGCACTGTCGTAGCTCACTTCCTGCGCGTTTATTTGTCACCGTGTCATTGACGTCAAGAAGGAATTGAATGAATTAATTTGGTAAATAAAATTATTTTTATCAAATATAGACATAAAAAAAACAAAAAAAAAAACTAAAACCTGCTTCTGAGGTTAGAGTTACAGAAGGTTTAAATAACGACAAATAAAATATATGTTGTCGCACGTTACTTTTTACTATATATGTATACATATATCTATATATTTATGTGTATACAGTATATATACATATATGTACATATATAATACATATATTATATATGTACATAAATACCTATATATACACACCATATATATTTATACACATAAATATATATATGTATACATATATATTTATTTATGTGTATAAAGATATATGCATATATGTATATATATTTATATATGTACATATATATACCTATAGATACATACCAAATATATTTATACACATACATATATATACATATACATACATATATATTTGTGTATAAATATATGTGCATATATAAATACATCTATTTATATATGTACATATATGCATACATATTTATACACATAAATATACATATATGTTTATATATTTATGAAGACACATATAAATAAACATACATATATTTACATATATATGTAATACAGGCGGTACACAGTGACACAGTTTTATATGGAGAACTATTAGAACTTACGTTCTCGCTGTTGTGGTCCGCCTCGCTTGGACAACCGAAGAGTTCCCGTCGCAGCAGGTTGCCGTCGTACTCTAGGAACGTCAGGTAGAGGTTCCGAAAAAATTCGACGTGTTTGTTCTTCACTCGCAGCTTCTTTGGAGAGTTCCAGTGGATCACCTTTAGAACCACAGGTAGAAGAACCAAGGTTTACGAAAGAGAAGAAGAAGAAGAAAAAAAAAACTTCCTAATGCTGCCCTCTGTCTGTAGTTTCTCTTTTCGTTTACTTGAAAAGCTTCGATCGAGCAACGTTTTACAGGAATTAGTGAAAATACAACAGCGAGTCTTCAGTTTACGATGATCTCAATCTACGACATCTCGTGGTTACGTCGCCATCGCCTTTAAATATACTAAGAAAGTCTCGTTGCCTTGCTACAACGTACAGTGCGGAACATGAATATGTCACATGACGTTATACGCAGAAGACACTGGATTGTGCTACGTTCACTTTCTGTCGTTTGTGTTGTTTTTTGGGAACTTTTTGCCCTTTGTTCTCCTGAACATTAGTCCGACTCTTCTGATGTTTGTATGTCCTAGATTACGATGTCACGACTGTGTTAGCGTAGCGTACAGTGACACAGAGTGCCGACGTAAGTCGAGGACCCGTGGTACGATCATTGTTGTTGATGTGTTGAAGAGCTGTTATTGTAACTATTATAGACTGTAGTTACGTACATGTACAGCTCCCCCGCAGGTAAGAGATGAAAACTACATCAGTGAGAATATTTGCATACTGCACTCTGGAAATGTAGCTAACAAAAATATACCGGCAGCAGTTTTTAGGCCTCGTTCAGTAAAATCTCACTTTGACTCCGCTGACATCGAAGCCGAGGGAAAAACTCGGATGTGATAAAAGTCCGTGACACGCCTGAAAGAGGAACCGTATATTTTCAGTCTGTTGGGACTGAAGAAGTAGGTCAGAGTCAAACGTGTCTCCGCAGAGCTTCAGACTCCGGGGACGGGGATCATTTTTCCACCTCGGCGTTTCGTTAAACAGATCTGAGGCGACACGAAAATAAAGAAGCTGCGACGATCTGAAAAACTGTTTGTTGTTTCCTCTGAACTGGGACACGGACGGTGGAGACCGACGGAGGGACGGGGTCTGAACCGCCGTCCCTGTCCGACTTCGACGCGCAGCACTTCAGGACAGGACGAGTGAAGTGAGTTCACGGTGCGGACGGCGGGGTCTCACCTTCAGGTCTGACACGTCTTTGTAGCACTTCTCTGAGCGCGTGTGGTCGGACAGCTGGACGTTCCAGAAGCACGGCAGCTGGTGGACCAGGAACGGGTTCTGTTTGATCACGGCGTTGAAGATGTCCTGCGTTGACACAGAGAGAGAAAACACACACACACACACACCGTGAGCCTGGAGCTTTGCCTTCTGTTTCATCATCGACACTTTAATCTGACCTCGCCAGCAGTTTACTTGACGTCAACACGCGGACGACTTTTTTTAAAAACTAAGCTAGCTGTCTTCGTGTGCTGGCGACTTTTTGAACTTGAACATCGAAACATGTCTTTTACCAAAACGACTAATTCTGTTTCCTGTCCTTCTGTTCAGGTCCATGTGAACAGTGACCAGCAGGTGAGCAGCGACAGGAAGTGAAACACTTCATTAACGTGACAGACACTTCAACCCCCGCCCCCCCCCCGTCCCCCCCCCAACACAACAGTACTCGGATCTTCTGTACCAGAGAACTGTTGACCTCGCACAAAGGAGAGAATGACACTTGTAACCATGGCAACTGCTCTCATTTGTAGTCGGCTTGTATCGACTCATGGTCAGATTTTACTTTTACATAATGTTTGTTTTTTTTTTTTCTTCTTCATCTAAGTGCAGTCGTGTCGTCTCATTAGAACTGTTCCCGTCTTTGTATCCGAGCTCCGTCGAACTATTGTTGAGTTTTTTCTGGCTCGTACTTCATTATCTCGTCTCCTTTCAGAGTTTTTTTTTTGTTTCTTTTGATTCAGTCTAAGAATAAAAAACAAAAAAACGTAAGAATTTGACTTGATGAGTTGAAGTTCAATCACGCGGTTGTATGGATCACGATGTTGTCACTGACGTCTGCCTCTGTCACAGACCTTGACGTTTCTACGACGACGGCTGCTGCTAATAGTAATTATTTCAGGTCTTTTGTCGTTTTGAAGTCAACTTTGAAGTCCCGTCCATCTGTCGTCGGTGTTCTCCTTCCCCGAGGATCAATTTTCATCTCCGTCGTCTGCTCTCGTCTTCTGTTTCCGAAGGTCTGACTGAAGGCGAATTTAAACACGATCCAACTGTAGGTGTGAATTTATGCCTTAATTATAGTTTGTTTCTGCGTTTGGTCGCTGACCTCCAGCTCCTCCGTTAAACTGTTCCAAACAAAGGACTTGGAATCGGATAATAAACTTTGATCATTTCGTGGATCTCGGTTCTTCTCTCTCCTCTGTTTTTATTCTGGAGACTCTCCGTCAGTGAAGTGAGACTCTGTGGTTCAGTCTGAGGATTTACGGTGAACTTTATCAGGTTACGTCAATACTCCTTACAGAGTACTGCCTTCATAACTACTGACAATGAAGGTAAAAGGATTCGTCTTCAAATTCACAGCTTCACTAAAATACAGTACGATAAAAAAAAAAGAAAAAAACTCGGAGGAAGTTACGGCCGTACTCACTGGTTTCCTGTCGACTCAGTGTTTTCAGGGTCGCGGCTGAACCTGTGTTTCTCAATTACTTGTTCCTTGCAAAGCGAAGTACTTCATGTAGCCAACGATAAAACGAACGAGAGTTTCATCGGACGGACATTTGTGACTTTACGGTTTTACGAGACATGAGCGTGAACGACGTCGACGGGGGGATAAAAAAACCGTCTGTGGCCACGGAATGGCTGCTGCGATGAGTCGGGCTGACGGAGCTCACGCAGCAGAACGGGCTGATGAAAAAAAAAAGAAAAGAGAGAGAACAAAGACTGGAAGAATCTCCAAAGCGCCACTTAGTGTCCAAAGTGCAAACTGTGAAAGGTTAAATTAAAATCCCATAAATGCACCTTTCATCTACACGAGCTCGGAAAAGCTGCGGGGCAGTTAGAGACGGGACACCCGCCAAGGTCTCGGAGTACGACCTACTGTAGTACAAGTACTGCAAAAGTCTGAGTTAACTCACTGTACACGCACTTTAGGCCAGAAATGGGCAAACTAAGGCCCGGGGGCCCGATGTGGCCCGTTCAGATTTTGTAATCCGTCCCAGCAAACTTTTTCCAAAATTAAAAAATGTATTAATTTTATCATTATACTTTTGTTTTTTCCCCTGCAATACCAACGTTTCCCCAATAGATGGCGTAGAAAATGTTAAACGCATTTTAGCCTTTATGGTTGACTTTTACATGTCATTTATCTTCTGCTCCTG